GGGGGGGGTGCGGTGAAGGGCAGGGTGGGGGGAAAGGCTGTTCCGCTGAAAGAAGCGTCGTCCCGTGATGATCGGGGAACGCTGGAAGCAGCTGCGGTGGGTTTAGCCCTGAGTGTGGAACGCAGGTGTTTTCTAGGTCTGCAAGTTGCTGCTTCTGAGCTGCAGTTCTCCCATGTGTACGTGTAGATGTAAATGTTACTTAAAGTTGGGGTTGCACTGCAGAGTTTGTGCACAGTGGAGCCCAGCAGTGAAGCAAAGCCTTGTACTCACTTCATGAGGTGAGATCAAATACTGCAGCCACCTCTGAAATGAGAACAAAACAGACTTGATTTGTTTTCCTTCCTATTAGGTGCAGACACTGCTTCAGCAAATGCAGAACAAATTTCAGACCATGTCTGACCAAATTATTGGAAGAAATATCCTTTTCTTGCAGTCAGATGGGGGCTGTGCCCTGGAGGTGGTGCTTTGGTGTGTATTGGCCGTGGGGTTTAGGAGGGAAACGTTAAGTGACCCTAAAGTGTTTGAGCAAAGCCAGGAGGAAAGCAAAGCAAAACACAAAAACACAAAACATCGATGACAACAACAAAAAAAAATAGGCTAAAACCCCAGTCTCAGCACTGAGCAGGTTGCAGTCACAGCCCTTAACTGCAGTGAAGTTGATGACATGAGCTACCGCATCGATGACCTGGAGAAGAACATCGCGGATCTGATGACGCAGGCGGGAGTGGAAGAGCTGGAAGGAGAGAACAAGACCCCTGCTGCTAACAAGAGTTAAGGTGAGATAGTTGCTTACTGGCCTTGAAACAAGTCCTTGAGGCAGTTGAAGTTGCTGACTCTAGTGTGGGTGGGCTTTCCCCCTGCTCTGTGAGGTAGCCTGAGGTTCATGCAGAGCAGCTGTGTAATGAAGTGGTAAGCAGCTCTCCTCAGCAGGCTCCCAGCAGCTTCTTCAACAAGGATGTTTTCTTCACCAGTAGTGGGAGGACAGTTATTTCCTGCATGTCTTGTTAGTTTTGAGGAAGTGCAGTAGCTGCACTTGTCCTCTGTTACACACTTAACTCTGGTACTCCCAGTAGGATGTGAAGCCATGGCTGTCCTTGCAGCACAGGGAAGGGGAGAGATGGGAAAATACCAGGAACAAAGCAAGCTGCTCTTTTCCTTTCTGTTGTCATGTTTGAGCCAGGACCACAGCCTCATGCACGTTACCAGCCTCTGCTCCCAGCACTACATCACATCCTGTAGACTTCAGCTCTAGGCTGCAGACCTGCTGCTGTGCACGGGGCCTGATGAGTGAGGCACTGACTGTCAGGAGGTTGCTGGGAGTGCATGGCTCACAGGTAGCACTACAAAGCAGCAGGCCCTGGCTTAGTGTCAGACACACCTGAGGCAGGAGACAGGGTGTGTTCTAGGGCAGCACACCCTGGAAAAGTAAGTTCCTTGTTGAAAGGTAAATGGGGTATTATATATTATTCCTACATAATTTCTGAATTGATATCCTGCCCCTCTGGTCCACAGAAACATTAGCAAAGTAGATGTTTCCTCTGCTTGGCAAGTTCAACATCCAGTACAAAGACATGGAAATAAACTCAGTGATCGGGGAGCTCCACACACAGTGTTTACAGCAACTGCTGAAGGCAGTTCAGGACACGGGGCACTGTAAGAGTGCCAAAACTGTTACACATAAACAAGGTGTGGGGGGTGTGGTTCTTAATTATAATGGGTGAGCACAAGGATTTCACTTCAGGTTGCTTAGAGCTTGGGTTTTGTAACCATGGAAGGCAGCTGGTGAATGAAGTACAAGCTCCATTGTGCTAAATGAGCTTCTGGCTTTTCTAAGGTGGGCAATGCAGATGTGTCTGCCCCTCTTAGGCTTGAAATTCTGAGGGCATATCTAGAATACTGTGCAGCCTGTATAACTGGCATGTGTGTTTAAAACAGGAATGTCTTGCTGCTTAAGGTACATGATTTTTACGACAGTTTGACAAAAATACAAATCATTATGGGCTTTATTGCCCCCAGTGCCAGTTCCCTTAGCCTGAGCTCCACAAGTGAGAATTTCTAATGGGCACTATTTTACTCAGTAACATTCTTTTAAAATTATTTTTCCTCAACAGGTTGCCAGTAACTTCAGATGAATCCTGGAAGACTTTTTTTTCTATGAACCTTGGAATTACAGAAGAGCTTTTTGCAACTGTTGTGTGTAAAAGCATTTTTATATTGTTACAGAGCTTGCATTCCTAATGTATATTGTATAGTTAGGGATAGGTTAGTTTATATTTTGATTTGTGTACTGTAATTTCACTTTTTGAATTCTTGTTACGAGGATCAATTAGTTGTGTTATTAAAACACAGATCTTAGGGATCTCAACTACTGGGTGTATTTGCAAAGTCACTTTTCCCTCTTTCTTATACTTTTTCTAGACATTTCATTTTTGATAGCTGAACATCTAGTGACTCACATCAAATGGAAAACTTCTCTTGTACTATGTAACTTTGTGGAGTGAAGCACAAGACTGAAACTTAGCATTAATCTTAGCTGTAAGCATCAGTCACTCAACTAGTTGAGGACTCTCTTTCTCTTAAGTGTGATAAGGTGATTTTGGAAACATAAGGCACTGAACATCAAAATCCTGTCTCCTGCTCCTGCTTTTACCTTACCTGGGTATCCCTAGAACATAAACCAGAAAACAGAGATTTAACATGAGACATCTGTGCTAAGCAACCACTGCCATTGAATTCTGTTCTATTTAGACAGGCAAGGAACCATTAACTCTGAAGAATCTCTCGGTGGGATTTACATTTTTAACACTGTAGAACTGTTTTGAAACTGAAAATGTGTCATTTAACATCACCTTTGAACAGTCATTTTGGTTAAAATAATGATACAGAACAGGGCTGGGATTGCAGGAGTCTTTCTGTTTAAATTACTGGCTGGTTGTACAAAGCAATTGGCTAAGAGAGCAATGGGATATGGAGTAATAAAAAGGGGGAGAATCCAGTTGGAATTGCAGAGTCTTGTATCTCTTGAATAACAACTAGCTGGAACTCTTCAGAATATTTGGTTTAGAAAGGTGTTTACTCATATCCACATTTATAGGCCTGGGAGTTGAATGAATTGTATTATTTTGACAATGGAAAGTGTTTAAGGGAGTCCCTGCTGTGTCAGCTGTGAAGAAAAGTGGCCCATGTTGGATGTCACTGACAATCACTGAGATGCTCCTCCAGCTGGAATGCAACTCTGAGAAAGCACTGGTGGCAGACAGGAGCTACAGGTGGACCACGTGAGGACTGCCCAGTGGAGGCCACCAAATGAGCTCCTGTGTGTTTTGAAGGCAACATGACAGGTCATCTTTCAAAAGTGAGGAAATATTGTGATCAGAGCTCATCACAGGGGAATTTTGTGACCATAGGAAATGTATCAATATGCCTTGTAATACCAGCCTTGGGCTCTTTGTAATGTCATTTTAAAAAATCTAATAAAATATTATGTGGTAACAAACAGTCCATGTATATTAAAGCAAAATCCAGCATGGGTATATCATTAAATGTGAGATTTTATTTATTTCTAGAAAGAGTTTAGCATAGCTGCTGCTGACAGGATGTAGTCTAGAATGCAGATGTGTTTTGTACAGCAAAAGGGTGAGCACCATTCCTGCCCTGACAAACCTGGGATTTGCTGGGGAATGGCAACGTAGAACAGATCCTTCTGGAAGTGACACTGCTTGCTCTGCCCCTGTGAGTGAGTGCAGGTACCTGATCAGCTCTGCCTTCTGCCTGCAGGAGGGGAAAGGGTTTCTGGTGTCACAGGTGCCATCTGGGAGGAGGGGAGGGATGGAAGGCGCCCTCCTGAGCTTGCTGCCTCCATTCTTGCCTGTCCAAGCCTGAGCAGCAAGAAAGGGGATAGAAGAGCTACTTCGTGTGAGTGAGTGTGAGGTAGGGAATGACACAGAAAAGACAGAGTCTGCAAGTCTTGCGTTCATGGGGAAAAGGAAGCTAAGCACGGAAAAGGCAGAACACACCCTGCTCCTCTCTAAATTCCTTAAGGTCTCCATTGTCTGCTCTCACCCCTCCATGACCATCATCCTCTTCAGCTTCTCTTACACCCTGATTCCTCAGAGCTCAATGTCAGCAGTTACTGAGGAAAAAGCCATTGTTTCCAAACTGTCTCCAGGTGACTGCTAAGTAAAGATGCACTTTCACAAAAGATCTACATTAGGAACAGCAAATAGAATCAGTCTTTTTCTATGACAGGCATTGTGAGTGACACCATGCAAGCCACAGTTTCTGTGACCAATGTTTAATAGCAGTATTGTTTTCTGAATGTTGGGCTTAAGACCTGAGAACCCAGAACTAAGCTAAAGGTGATGGGAGCTGTGTGGCCTGAGCATTCTGCACTGGGCAACAGAATTAAATTTGAAACTCTTGTCTCTTCTGGTGTCTTAATTCCTATCTTTATTGCAAGCATGATGCTCTCTCAGGACAGAGAACAGTGTTACAATAAATCTGTGTTTTGAAACACTTAGGCCCACTGATAAGTGATCCAGATTTACAGTTTCCTTAAGAGGATTATTAATTTAATCTCTGCCTTAAAGACAACACACAGTAAGTAAGACTGCACAGATAGCTCTTCAATTAATCCCATCTGGTGCACACACTAAGTGCAGCTGGTTGGAGGCCAGGGAGACACACTCAGCTACAGCCCTGCCTGGCTGCAGGAGCAGGTTTGGAAGCCCTGCTCTCCCCGAGCTGAGCCCAGCTCTCCCAGCTGCCTGGCAGGTCCCACTGCCTGCAGTACTGCCCACCTCCTGGCAGAGCCCACAGGAATGACTTGGGCTTCATCTTGCAATTCTCACAATCTATTGTTGGCAGGACAGACAGGTGTGTACAAATCCACATGGTCTGGCCTTCTCAATAAAAGGACTGTTGGTTCCTTTCCTTAGAGGGAATGAGGCACGGGGAACTGCTTTGCCTGAGCTTACTGTGGAAATCAGTAAGAGACCTAGCCTGCCTGTTCTCCAAACCCTGGGGGAGGGCTGAAGGCATTCAGTGCTTCTTCCTCCAACCTTGAAAGCTCATGAAATTAATTCCTTCACACTGTAAATTCATTTGATACTATGCCTTCAAAAAGAAAATTATTCTGCTTCCATATTGTTTTGCTGTGAAACACCTGTAACTAAGGCCAGAGACACTGTCCCTCCTCTCTCTAAAATTAAATTTATCTGCAGTTTGTGTGGAGGTGTTCCCATGGAGTTATTTAATGAAGCTTTTTACTTTTCCTCAAGATTATAACTCTCTAGCAGACACTGCCTTCTAGTGGGCACATGCACTAAGAGAAGGAACATTACTCAGATTAATGATTTGGTTACCTTTAATGTACAAGTTCAGATGTTAGGAACTTAATGGGCCACACGCTGGTTTGAAATGTGGTTATTACACAAAACACTGAGGCTCTGTTTGCAACTAACAAAGTTAATAGGATACACAAATCCCTTCCTGAGCTTCAAGCCTTACTGTGTTTTGAAAAGAGCTGATGCTTGCTGAGATTTTTTTTTCTAACTCTGATGTAGAGTTAATGAAATTAGGTCATTAGGAAAACAAAGCATGGGAATAGAAACCTTACATCTTATAAGCACTCTGAGATAAGAATGGTTAAACAGGCATTGGCTCTCTGAAGAATACACATTTATGTACAGAAAGTGTTTTCTTATGGCATTTTGCTACAGACCTGACATTTTTACTTACAATTCTCTTGTAGTTGGATACATATGTAAAAACTTG